TTTTGCATGAGGGTCTTTCCTGAAGATTTTAAGAGAGCAGGTTAGACAGACACTTGCGTAGGAAGATTTGGGTAGGGATGATCCTGCCTTGAGTAAGGGATTGGACTAGATGTGACCTCTGAAGTCCCTTACAGGCCTTCTTTTCTAGGATTTTGTGATAACAAGGACTGTCTGGCAGGCTATATGCTGCTAGTGTGTTAGTACAGTAACTTTTTTGTTTTAGCCCTTCGTAGCCCAGCGTGGTCTGATCCAGTTGGCTGTTAGCACTAGATCTGCTGATAGCCTTCAGCAGCGCAGCGGAGCCGATCACAAGAACTGCTGGAATTGGAGTCGGACTTTTCCCTTCCATTCTTCCTTCACATATACCAGACCTGCTTAACCTTTCATTTCACTCAGCCTGACAGCAGGTTATTTCCTAGCAACATCGCCAAGGGCATTTAATGAGAGCAATTAGCCTGCCAGCTCCCGTGGTTATCCAAGTTGCTGGGATCCTGCACCAATGCATCTGCATTAAGGAAGCCCTGTCGTAAGAATACTTAGTTCCAGCTTTGCTCTTCTCTGTTCCTTATCTTTCCTGTCTTTTGTTGTTAAAAGGCATTCCCTTGTCTCTTCGAGGGGCAGCAGATAAGACTATATCTGCAGAAGCAGCAAAGTTTCACCATTTTGAAACCAGAAAGGGATTGCACTGCAGTTTCTGCAAGGAGTTGCTCAAGCCTTTATTCAAATGACTGTGTGTGTCATAATCAAGGAATTGTCCCAGGAGGGTAGGGTTGGGGTGGGGAAAAAAAGCAAAAAAGGAGGGAGTGGGGGAATATGGGTTTCCGCGTCTTCCTCCCTTAGAGAGAACCTTGTTTTAAAGTTTAGTCCTTCCAAATCAAATTAAAACCCTCACATTCATCAGGCAGACTCAGAACCGTGTCTTTCCATAGATCTTTGCATTCCCCTTTATCCACCCTCTGGACGTAGGAATGACGGCTCCTTTCCCAGAGACTTGGTGTTTGTTCAGGACTGTTTTCTAGGAAAGGGGGGAAGACCAGTTTCATCCAGCATTTGTTCTCTCCAGTCTGACCGACTACAAAGGCCACGTTCTTGGTGGAACCGAGACTCTTCTGATGGGAACATGCCTCAAGGTTTTCATTACTTCCCCAGGAAGCCAGTCTGCAAGTGCCAATTTGTACCGTCAGTGCTGCACTTTAAAGCATTGTAGACCTGTTTCCCATTTCAAGCAACTAATAGCTTCTGTTCCTTATTTTATCACCAGTCCAGTGATAGCTTTAATGGTCAGTCTGCGTCAGGCTTGTCATAGAGGACTCCTTGATAGGTACCTCTGTCAGGCCAGGCCTCTCTTGGTCTGCTCTCTGGTACCATGTAAACCAATACAGCCTGTTCCATGGTTGGGTTGTTGGGCTAGCCTGGGTTGAGGACAGCATGTGGACACCCAGCAGGACTAAAAAAAAGACTTGTCAAAGGGTGGATGAGCTCCCTGTGAGCCAACAGCCATCCATACCTGGAGAGGAGATGGGTACCACCAGGTCACTTTGTCCGAAGAATCACCAATGATGCCCAGCATCTAAGGTGTCCCAGTGGTTGCAGCAGCCTTGGGACTGACTTGACTTGACTTGACGTGACCTGACTGCCTCTTCAGAAAAGTAGTGTCTCTACATCTTGACCAGACGTTTCAACTGCCCACGTTCCTTCTAGGCTTCCTCTGTTTTTCATAAATGTTCCTTAGGATGCTCTGAGCGGCTTGTCCAGATCTGGGCATCGGAGATGTTCCTTGTTCTAAACCAGTTGCCCAGGATAAGATTTCAGTTTGTGTTTGTTCTGAGAGCTTCAAGTATTTGCTCTCCAAAGCACTCCATTTTATTTATATATATATATATATATATATATATGCCAGTGCCTGGATTTGGAAACTGTTCTGTGGAGGTGACATACCTCTTTACACATTTTCCTGGTTATTGGTGGAATTTTCGAATTATTTTGTGGACCACTGGGTGATTGCCTCTTCAACTGAAGGCCTGTGGTTGTCCCAAAAGCTGTTCAGAACAGTTTCCCAGAATTGCAAATAACTTTGTGCAACAAGAACTACCGCGGGAAGGTTTCCTCGGGGTTTGGTTGCCATTCCTGTGACAGCCAGCGCTAGGGTGTCTGTGACCTAGTGGTAATTCCAAAGGGGCAGGAGGATACAGGTGAGAAATCTGGACTGAACAAGGAAAACATTCACTAGCTTGTTGCAGGAGGAAGCTTTTGTTGATTTTTCTTTTTCTTTTGCTTGTATGATCTGTTTATAGCAGCGCTCACTGGCTGGTGGGGACAATCAGACCTCTGTTAGGGCTATCTGCTCGTAGGGGCTCTCAGCAAAGGGCGTCTGATGATTAAAACTACCTCCACTTGAGCAAACAAGCTTTGTATCAGCTTACCACGGAGGCAGCAATTTGACGTGTGGGAATGAGAATTTAATAATTGACTCTTCAAGTAGTTGTTAGAAACCTGATGATCCAGATACTCCTGGACTCTGACTCTTGCTTGTTTAAATGCATCTTTGCATTTTTGGGTTCTCCTGAACGGGGACAGAATTCTGTTCCAGCTCTCGAACTCACGTTTTGCAGCACATGAGATTATTGGTTTGGATTCAGAGAGGTTTTGCTTTTGATTGGTTTGGATTCAGAGAGGTTTAGCTTTCTAAAGCTTAAATAGTCATGAGAAACTGTCACAAATGAGAGCTTTTCAGGGGATTGGGACCTTGGTCTTTACGGTGCTCTGGAAAGGAAGAGACTATTTGGTCCCAAATAGTCCAGGGATATATTGCAATATTCCTTTCCTTGGGTTTGGCTTTTGCTTGGGTCCAGGTCCCCACTTTCTGAAAGTCTAGGCATTTGTGTCTGTAACCTGGTAGCATACTCCTTCTGCTTTGAGCCTTTTTTGATAGCACCTACACATTTCCCAGTTCATTAAGGACCTGCCTCTATGGAGATGACACCTGGAGACAAGTATGTTTTGGTGGTTCAGGGAGTCACCTTTGAATCATTCTTAATACACGGACAGAAGCTATACTTAAATGCTGTTCTGGTTCTCAGTTACATTGGGTAGAGATTTAGTAAGTTTGGGGGCCTTATCCATCTAGAATTCTACATTAATTTTTTTTCCACAGGATGGGTCTTTGGCCGGCAGCCGAGTTCTCATCTCCCCCAAATTACGGCTCTCACACAATCTCTTCTCGTTGCTGGCCTTGTATGCTGAAGCCTTGCACAAGTAGGGAAAAAGCAGTTGTGCTTCGCTGGAGTGGTTGGAGCATTCAAATGCTGACAAGACATGAATAAAATTGGATGAAAGTTTAAGATCTGCTGTTTGACATGTGTATTGTAAAACAGCCTGTTGGTTCTTTCCAACAAATATGTTCAGGAGTTTCTCAAGATGACAAGCTGTTCATTAACAGATCCCCTCTTTTAGGGATGCCTCACTCAAGCCACGGTCATTTCTTGGACAGAATGACAGTACTTTTTTCAGCTCATTTTGGCGTGTAGCCATTTGCTCTTCCGTGCATCCCTTTATCTGTCACTTTAAAATATATTATCTTGGGTGGTGCAACTTTAGATCATCTCTTCCTTTTCTTTTGCTAATTAAACACCTACGTGTAGTGGATAAATAGGAAAGGCAAGAAAAGACAATAATGCACAACAGGATATTTGGTGTGCTAGGCATTAAGTCCTGTTGGTGGCTTTTTCCAGGTTGCAGTGAGTGGCTCACAGAACACCAGGTGCCCACAAATGTAAAACGTACCTGTATCTTCTGTGCCACCCCGGCTAAGGACTTCTCTTTTTTAGCACTGAATGCTGGGAGGAGGGGGAATAACTAATCCTTATTCTCCTGTCACCTTTCCTTTCCTTGCTGTATTCCTGACAAAGTGAAATGGTGAAATCTTGAGATCCTCTTAATACCAGGGTCTTGATTTGCCTTAAACCTTCATCTTATTTTTTTGTGTAATAAATGAATGAGTAAAGCAAAGATTAACCATCTCCCAGCAGGAGACTTTATTTTTTAAGATGGTTTTAAAGCAGAATCTGCTGGTGTCTCAGCGTGGGCAGGTGGCTGGGGTTGTCGAAGAGGGTCAGTTCCCTGAGCAGCTCCCTCTGCTGTTCATATGTCCTGAAGCCAGTGAGAAGGTGTTTTGTTTTTTAATATGTCGCATGGTTGGAAAGGGAGAAATAACTCAATTGTGATGGATCAGAGTACTAGATGCCCAATTTCAGGAAGGAAAAATTACCGGTCGTTGGGTTGTGTTTAACTTCAAAGTTACCACCCTGCTTCTGGATCGTATTTCACAACCCATGATTGGGATTTCAGCCCCTCTGTCACCCCTGTGTTGTATTTTCGAACAAGCACTGTTACACTTTCTCCTGTGCTATGTCGTGGGTGTTTAGAGAGAGTATATCTCATTATCCGTCATCAGATCTTATCTCAAAACACTCTCCTATGCTATCACACCAATAAAAATCTCATTAGTAGTTTGGCTGCTGGTGTGCTGAGGTTGCTTTCAGTTGCACTGACCAGTGCTATCCCATTATTCACTTCTGTCGTCCTTTTGAGGTGCATCCATCTCGCTCTAGTCTCTGTTGTTTTATAGCCCCTGCCCTGTTGGGGCAGATTAAAATCTGTCTTTTTGTTCTGTGTTTGCACAGTGCCTGGCATGCTGGGGACCTAGTCCATGACTGTGGCTAGGACTCAATATAGTAATATAGGTCATGGTAACATTCAGAGTGGAATGGCTTGATCCTGTGAAAGCAGAATGCTGTGCCCCAGCCTAGTGAAGCATTAAAGAACACAGGTGCTCCTCTCGTCTTTCCTAGGCCCATTCACGAGCTTAATCTTTTTCAGTGGGTGTGTCAGGCATCCCAGACAGACCCCATTGCGGCAGCAGTTCTGCCATGTTAGGGGGGAAATAGCAGAGAATTGACTTGCAAAACCTGAATATTAACATACCTTCTTGTACATTATAGGTAGGTGTGTCCCATCATCATGTTCTGGAAGTTTGATTTGAACACAACATCGCATGTGGACAAGCTGCTGGATAAGGAGGATGTGACGCTGCATGAGTTGATGGACGAAGATGACATCCTACAGGAGTGCAAGGCGCAGAACCGTAAACTGCTGGACTTCATCTGCCAGCAGCAGTGCATGGAGGACCTGGTCAACCTCATCACCCATGAGCCCCCCATGGATATGGAGGAGAAGGTCCGCTTCAAGTACGTACGCCTTCTTTCCTTTCTGGGAAGAAAAATGAATGGAGAAATAGCCACCAGAGTATTTTGTGCCACAAGGCAAATTAAACTTGCTGCCCAGGAAAAAGACCTTGAAGTTTGGGTTGTGGAATACTTTGCTGTCTCAGTGCTTTGACATGACTAACCATTTAAGCATTTGCTCTGATTTTCTGCCTGGGTTCGTTGCATTTGTTTTCACCGTTTTCTTAAAAAAATCAAAAACTTTTTATTGGAAACTTTTCAGAAGCTCCCTGTTGATCTTCATTCTGTGGTCACAGTCACCCCAAATGAAGTGGGTGATGTTCACTGAACTACAGGTTCACGGAGCATCATTGGCTTAAAATGTATGCAGTCTGTACAAGATTTGGAGCTCTCCCACAGATGAAAGGCTAGCCTTTTGCATACTGCTGCTTGCACCGTAATTGCATAATTGCCTGAGAGTGCTCTAGAGTAGCAACTGGATGTTCATATTAGGGACATTTTAAAGAGCTCTTCCTCCCCGCAGCCAAATACAAGCCACCTGCCAAGTATCAAATCATATTTACACACATAGGTTCGACTAACTGCTCTTGGATAACAGAACTCTTGTGTTTTGGAGATAGGGGAACTAGTTTTATTTCTGTGCTGCATTCAAGGCAGGGAATTTGATGCAGGCATACAAGTGTGTACCCTCGGGAGATTTGATTGGGGCAATTACTACCGTTGATGCTAGAAATCTAAAAAGCAAATGGTTAGTGATGATGTCATTGATGTAATGTCTAGATGAGAGACGGTGGCATGTGTGTGACATATGTTGTGCCATGTTGCTGCATGTAGGGTGGGCTGTTGTAATATTTCAGCTGTAAAGTACGTACGAACTGAAGGAACCATGAGGCCTGCCTTAGGTGGCTACTCTCATACAAATGAAGATGCGTATCAGATAATTTATTGCATCAGACTTTATGGGGGCGGCATTATTAATTGTGTCCTCTATTGTTGGTCTGCAACAGTATGCATTGGAGCAGGTAAACTGCAGTGTCCTTGATGGAGCCTGCCCAGCTTGTCATTACCATTCCCACTCAGTCCCCCAGAATGATGCAGAAAACCTACCTTTTCTGGTGAAAACCTTACCTTTCCTGCAAGATGGGACCTTAGAGACTAGCCACCTTTTCCAGTGCAGATGGATGTCTCTTCCTTGTGTTGGGAAGTCCGTTAGTGCTCTTGCTTAGCGAGACTGGAGAGGTCTTGTTCAGCCATGAGACAATGCCAGATTTTCTCACATACAAAATGCACCTTTTTCCCCTAAAATCGACCTCCCCTCCAGTTGGACTCTCTCCAATGTGTCCACATCCTTTCTGTAGTGGGTGGCCCACAGCTGGACACAGGACTCTAGATGTGGCCTCCCCAATGCAGAATAGAGGGGAAGAATCACTGCCCTCGATCTGCTGGCAACGCTCCTACCAATGCAGCTCCGGATGCCGTTACCCTTCTTACTCCCCGTGGTTTTTAATCAGGGAAACTGATTTTCTGCCTGCGATAGAAGTGCTCTGTTGTGATCTCTGCTCCAGAGTGCAGCGGCCGTGGTATTACTGCTTGGGCAGCTGAGGGAGTCAGTTCACTTAATGGCTCATGGTGGTTCACTTTCCAAGTGTTAGCAATTGTCTCTCTTTTTTAGTGGTCTCAGTGTTCCACTAATGAAGCTAACCAGTCAAGGGCAGTCTTGCTGTCTGCTCCCGGTCTGTCTCACAACCTCTTTAGCTCAGACTCTAGCATTTTAGCACAAGCCAGCGATTCTCAACCAGGGTGTCACAGCATCTGGGGTGCCACACAGTGATAGTACTGATACATTTTACAAGCATGATTCACAAAAGAAACCCAGAGATTTCAAGTAGGAATCCATAACTGGGGGCTTTCTGAGGTCTTTGCAACAGACCCGTTATTTTTCTGTATTCACAAAAAGAGTGAAAACCAGGAGCTGGCCTTTTTGGAGAGGTGCCTTGAATCTGTCTGGAGACGCCTCAAGTCTGAAAAGGTTAAAAACCACTGGCACAGGCTTTTTAGCTCTTTTCAAAAGCATAGATCCACCCATTGAGAAACCAGTCTTCAGCAGCAGCCAGAGACTCTGTTTTAGCTATGTAGGAAAGGGAGCGTGAGTCTCTGTCCCTGCTCTATGCAGCCATAACTCTGGAAAAGCCCTTTTTCTTCATTTTGCTTTGAAGAAACAAAGGTATGTGTTATATTTAGGGGGTGTGCCCCTTTGTGCCCCATTTCCAGGGTCCAAGCATATTCTACAGCTGGGGCAGTGACTGGTTCTAGGAATCCATGAGTTTCACACATCTGTGCAGAACGCTTCGGTGGTCCTGTTTAATCAGATCAAAGTCCTTTTATTGTCAGTGCTTCCATGACTGCCACCAGTACCTTTTCTAGGCATAGTTTCATAGTAGTTTCATAGTTCACAGTTTCATAGTAGGTAAGGTCGGAAGAGACCTGAGCAGATCATCAAGTCCGACCCCCTGCCATAGGCAGGAAAGAGGACTGGAGGCAAACAACCCCAGCCAGGTGTCCATCTAGCCTACTTTTGAAGACCCCCAGGGTAGGAGCCAGCATTGCTTTCCTTGGAAGTTGGTTCCAGATCCTAGATGCCCTGACAGTGAAGTAATGCCTCCTGATGTTTAGCCTGAATCTGCTGTCAGTCAATTTATGGCCGTTATTGCTCGTTACTCCCAGTAGTGCTCGGGGGAACAGGGACTCTCCCACAGGCTGCTCGTCCCCTTTGGCCAGTTTGTAGATGGCCACCAGATCCCGCCTCAGCCTTCTCTTGTGGAGGCTGAACAGGTTCAGGTCCCATGGCCTCCACTTGTAGGGCCTGCCCTGCTGCCCCCTGATCATGCGGGTGGCCTCCTCTGGACCCTCTCGATGCTGGTTAGCCTTCCTGACCGCGTCCCCACATTGGTGATCCATGTTCATCTTGGAGTCAATAATGACTCCAGGATCCTTTTCTGCCTCTGCACTGACGAGAAGGGAGTTCCCCAGCCTGTAGGT